GGGAAGGGAAGGGAAGGGAAGGGAAGGGAAGGGAAGGGAAGGGAGAGTTGTAAAGAGAGGATGGAAGGAGTCTAAATGAGGGTCCCTTGGTCCTGCCTACTATGCTTCCTCAGGAGGCCCTACATAGTGAATTAAGAAATGTTACTCACATCAGCCATCTGAATTTCCTCAGGGTCCAGCCGAGGATGGCTAGGGCCATTCGCTAGATTCCTGTTCTGATGCGCTGGGCACATGTTTTGCCGTAAATGATTATGCATCTGATTTCTCTGTTTTCTAAAGAATAAGTACATTGAAAGATTTTACTTATGTTTGTATGTTTTCTTCAGAAAAGGTATTAATTCAGATTGGAACAGTGAGCCAGTTTTACTCTGATGGATTATATAATCCTGTCAAGATATGGATCCTAGACTGAATGCTTTGGCTGGAAAATGGCCTAGTTTTGATGCTTTTCTGCTTTTAGTCTTGATTTCCTAAGATTGCAGTTTTGGTTTTGACATGGAGAAAGCCTTTGTTCTACACTTAAGCACACATCACTCCTAGTATTCTGGTTAGTACTAATGTATCAATGTGTTTATACAATAAATATATAAAGAAAGAAAAGATATAGGAAGTATAAAGAAGAACGAAGTAACAATAATAATGAAAACATAGAAAAATGTATATATGGTTGGATCTGATTCTGAAATGTATCATTCCAAAATCATTTATAATTTTGGAATGATACATTTATAAATTTTTTGTAAATAATTTATAAATTTATAATTACTTTGTATCCATATTGATAAATCTAGCAATATCAGAATTATGCTGATCTCTAAAGAAGTTAATTTACAAGCAATGCTTTATTTTATTATTAATAGTCCATAAATTTAGTGCCTGTATGGTTTATCAATATTGTTCAATATTATTTTAGCGGTCGTTAGAAAAAAATATCTAAATTGCAATCTACAATTTCCACAAATAGCACATTAATCTTCTAGCAACTGATTTTTAAAATTTTTAAAAATATTACATAACACAAAATTCCAGAATAGCTTTCTATGTACACATGACTAAAAATTACAAAGAAATTCTGTTTAGATTCTTAACATTTCCAATATTAAACTTACCATTACAATATATTTTGCTTAGTTAATATGGCATCAAATATACTTGGAAACTGTTCAAAAGAAACTGCATTTTAGCTTGCTGTTAATCTATTAGCTGGTACACTGAAACCCTATTTTGTTTGTTTATAAGTATATTCAAATCTTGACTCCGTTTCTCTTTAGGAACACCATGTTTTCTTTTGTTTTACTGCAGTCACTTTATAAGTACAGTTTACTAATAATAACATTTAGTTAGAGGAGTTGAAATTTGCATATCAGATTTAGTCATGTTTCACAGCTTAGCTAAAAGTTGAGTTATATTACAGTTCTGAAAATACTGAACCCAAAGAAGATACTCCCTGTCCATGTGCATGCTTAGTTCTTCATATGAAATCATGTTATATTTAATACATAAAGAATGAACTGATAAGTCAGGTTAAATAGGGTTAAACTGCAAAATTAATGTGAATTTTCTTATTGAAACTAAGTCATTAGGAAATAACCAGCACTTATAACTTTTTGAATTTTATAGAAAGCTTTAAAAGAACCTTTGTGAAACAAAAACAGAATTTCCTTATGTACATAAATTAATGGATGGAACCAAGGTAAATCTGGATTTTTCCACCCTGTAAATAAGGTTATTTTGCTACATTTAACATTTGTATGTTAATGGCATGATATTGAAGTATAATTAGTTTTACGAATGTCAATGAATTCATAACTTGGGGTGAGTTATTTTGTCAAATGAATCTTGCAATTACCTGTTGCATTTATTGATAAGAGAGGAACTCATTGTTAAACAGTTAAATTTGGCAACAAATTATTACCATTGCTACCATTCCTAACCAGGATCATTGTCATGATGCCAAAGTATAATACCCTTTTCTGTAAGACTGATTAATTAATTTAACTTCCACAAGAATATTAAAACTGGATGAAAAATAGTTCATTCTCTTATACTTCCACTGAATATTAATACTGTATGGCTAGAAAGTGTTCTTTAATTTCCTTAGTACATAATATTAATAGCCAATCCTTCTGAGCATTTAAAATGTGCCCTAAAGCATCTCTCTCCTCCTCTCTCAGTCTGTTTCTCTTACATATTTGTGAAATGTGGAATATCAGCACTGAAAACTGAGTATATCTCTTTCAAGAATGCTTGACCTGTAAAGGCTGTTTCTCAGGGGAAACATCTGCTTTGTGGAACAATCCCCCTCCAGAGATTGGATTTGCTTCTGTGTTATTATCCTTCTGGAAGTTATTAAAAATGGACCTCTTCCAGAGGGCTTATGGGGGGTGGTGATCTTATGGGATTATTGTTCAAGTTGCTGTTTATCTGTTTTTAGTGTAATTTTGATTATTGTAGGTTTTAATTTATACTATTATGATGGATGTACTGTATTTTGCAATTGTTAGCTTCCAAGAGTCAAACTGATTACAAATTGAATTGATAGGAGATTGTGTAAGAAAACAAAGCTGCTCTTTCTGATACAGGATACATGGCAGCCATATCATTACTTGCAAGGTGAAAAAGAAAGTATAGCTCCTGTTCTCTTCCCACATCTAGCCATCTAGTCATTTGGTCTTGTTAAAGTGGTGCACAACTGAGTTTTATTCAGTTTCTGATTTTTCCAAATACAACTGGCAATTTCATTTCAGTAGTGGTCTGTGATTTTGAAACACTGCAAGATGACTGTGTGCATTTTCATGGGAATTTATTCTAATATAACCTCTTAATGTGTTTTTCTTTTTTGCCAGCATAACCTATAACATAAGTTTGTATGATATTTTCATTAATATGCACATTTTGATGTGCGTTTCTTAACATACACAGTTTTGTACACATTTTTATTGGTGACTAGCTCTGCAAATTTTGAAGAAGTGTACATAATTGTTCTTCAGAGGGCTTAGTGGATTAGGAAGTTTAGATCACATACACTTGAATTAAAATGTGAACTGTTTCTCTGATCACAGTACCTTTAAGTTAATAAACACTGGAACTATAAACATGACACAAATTTTCAGTTGATAGTATAAAGAAAAGGCATATTTTTTAAGCTTACCAAATCTCATAAACTACAATCATTAATAACATTCAAAGAATGGATTATATGTTGAAGACATCCCTTCAACATTGTGTAATGTTCTTATCAGATGCAAGTGCTTTTTTGGTCATGTGCCTGATTTATGGATCAGCCTCCCCACAGAGATATGAATGGCCCCGACCCTGTTGGCCTTCACGAAAGTGGAAGAAGATCTGGTTTTTCCTCCAGGCACTGGGGCCAGGAGATTAATGGAGTTGTGATGGGGTGGTTGATGGATGAATGTGAGTTTTATTAGGACCGCAATGTTGCTTATTGTTTTAACTTTTTTTAGTGTACTGTGTTTTTATTCTGTTCATCCCCCAGAATTCCTTCTGGTGAAGGCAGCTGTATAAGTTTGTTTAATAAAATAATGAATAAATAAACTGATCCTCCTGAAAGTCTGAAAAAAGTTGGGATCTGAACTTGGAATTCTCACTGGTATAACATTTATTTCAAAGAAGATGTTTGGCAAATCATGAAGAAATGATAATAAAGACAATCTACACATTGTATTATACCCCTCTTAAATTGGAACTTTTATAAGTTGCATCGGAGTGACTATAAACAAATTGTTACTTTTCTTGTGTTTTTACTTAATAATCCAACAATATTTACCAAATAATCTTATCACTGATTTGTTGTCCATATTTCCAAAATATATACATCAGTTCCACATGAAATATGAATTCCTTTTTCTTAGCTGCCAAATTTGCTGTTGCAAGATATTGGAAAACTAAATTTTAATTTTCTTTGATTCTTAAAGCACCCAGCAATTAAAGTCACTTTTAATCCATTTTAATCATTTTTGGCTATATCAGCAAGGCTTTTCTTATTAGATTACCATATTCTCTACAAATATTTTTACACATCAGTATTAAATACAGATGCTACAAGTGTTTGTACTCCTTTTTAAGATTATTTATAAAATATACCTATGTACTTCCAAATTGTTTCATTTTCCCTTCCCTTTTTCTTCTTTAGCTCTTTCCCTTCTTTTTTCTTTTCTTTTTTATTGTGTTCATTGCATTAAAAATTAATTTTAAAATTAATAAATAAAATCACTCACTTGGTTTTACAGTAAGCTACTACACATACTATTCCCACAACAAGCAATGCAACACAAATCCCAGTAATGGTTAAAACTCTCTTCTGATACAGCTCCTCAGCTTCTGCAAAGGACATAAAAATAATTGACAATTAAAATTTATCTCAAATTATAACTGCATTCTGAAGATACAACTACAGCCTTCCATGGTGTGGATTGGGATCTATCTACTTGTTTTCCTGAGATAGAATTTAGAATTCTATGGCTGTTTTAACATTGACGCTCTTCTTGACTTATATCCAAATCTTTCCCTTCTAGACCCTGTAAAATCAAAACAAGAAAAATCTACTTAGGCGTCTTCTTTTTTCTGAGCCCTCTCCTGTATGTTTTTCAATAACCCCTGATTGGGAATATTTTCTAGAACTTCTTAATAGCATTCAAGTGCTGTTTCCTGTGTAATTGGCTGAGGTATTACAGAAAATTTATGCTGAGCCGCAATGAATATACTTGTTGAGATCCAACTTTGGTTGGTACAGCAACCAAATGATAGTTTTCCTCTTTTCTGCCCCTCTCTGAGCCCAATATCAGAATTTAATGTCCCCTACTTTCAACGTCACTTTCTGTCAGCACTGAGAAGTTTCAGAAGCAGAAGCACAATCAGCTGGAATGCTCAGAAGACAAGGGAAGGGAATGTACATCGCTGCCTCTTTTAATAGATTTCTTTGCTATTCTGATCCAAGGTGAGAGGGAATGGGGCCTATGAGAATTCATGCGGCAGCCAACGTAGTAGAAGGGCGTGTAGAATATATACCATTAAAATGTACATCTCTATTGTTGCCATGAAGACAAAGGAGGAAAATACATTAGTGGCTCTCCTAGTATATGAGGTGAAGAAGGAAACAAGTTGAGCTAACTAGAGACATTGGTGAGAAAGAATGCTTTGTAACATCTGATTGTTTATAAAGTTCCTGCCATTTTTTTAGAATACCAAACTCATTGTGATGGAATGTCTAGCAAACCCTGGGAATACAGAGGAAGGATTGTTACCGAAAACATTCCTTAGTCCAGGAGAGGGGAGAAGCATGAGAAAGAGACTCAGAGTAACTCCATCTTAATTATGCTAGGTATAAGTTGATCTGGACAATTGCTTTGGCAGGCTTTCAAGATTCTGTTACATTACTCTATTAGCAATAAAGATCCAAGTGGTTCTTATTTCCTGAGTTTGCCAGCTTCAAAGGGTTTGACACTCAGTGACAATTAACTCCTTTAACCTTCCTAAGTAATGTGTGGCACTTTTTAGGAACTGGCTATTCGGACTATGTATGGTTTGAAAATAATTTGGAAGAAGTGCTTCAGTTCTTACACAACTGCAAGAATAGCAATTTTCTGTGATTCATTAAAGGAGCCCCTCTTTACATCCAACTGCTCTAGAAGGTAGGCCAGAAAGAAAAATTAGTTCAAAGTAAATAAAGAAGCAAATAAATACAATGAAAGTTCTAAGTGAGAGCAACCGTTGGAACCTATTTGGCTAGTGCTGAAACATCTGTGTTGTTCCTGCTCTGTTTTCAGGCTCACTTCAAAAAGCTAATGCTATCTTTTGATGCTATTTGTAGCACGGGACCAGGATACCTGTGACTATGTGAACCAGATTTGAGCAATAATGTCATCTCTGGAGATCCTGCCCCAGATGTCCCAACCATCACAGATGGAAACTGAGAAAGAATTGTTATCATGATGGTTTCCTGGGTATTGAATTCTGATTTCAGAGGCTTGCTTGGTGCTAAGGAAAGATACTTTTATTTTCTTAGGCTTTTTATTTGTTTATCTGTTTTAACCAGTTCAGTGCCACAATTCAATATAAACAAGTGAGATGTGAATCAAAATGTACAGTGTGGAGTGCTCCTCAGCATATCTAGTTTTAATTGGGTAATATTACCTATTTAGAAAGGATTTTTCTTTTCCTATATATTTTTTCATTGTAATTCTTCAAATTTTGAGGTCACTTTAGGTCATGCTGAAAGTTCTCTGTTATGTTTAGGTGGTCCATTATGGCTATATAAAGAACAACACTATGGGTTTGCCATTAATATATATTATGTCACAATATATAACCTCTTGGACAAGGTGCATTAGAAAATCTAAAATCTGACATGGAGATAGCCTTGGCTGCCCTGATGAATGGTCTTTGTTGAGAGACAAAAAAGGGTCTCTCCCCGTTGAATACATATCAGTAGCTTTTAACACCACCATTTTGACCACCATTGGTATCATCTTATTAAAATGATTTGGTAGGTTAAGGCTGAGAGCTACAATGATATGATAATTCCAACTACATCTGAAGAATTGGTTTCAGAAAACTGCATTCGGAGCTTTATGCTTAACTTCCCAGTATTTGAGCTGTAGTGACCTGCAGATGTCTCCTTATTCCAGTCTGCTCTTTTACTGAAGATCTTTGACTCATTAACTGGTATAGTGATGACAGCCAGCAATATTTCTTTGACATTAAATTCAAATCTTGCTGAATTACTGCCTGCATACAATAATAGGCTGGATGAGGCCAAGAAAGTGGAGCAGAATCCGGACAGCATAGAAGCACCATGGTGGTTCTTGGGTGTGAGAAGTTGGCATTCCACATGCAGTTTATCTCCACCTGAAAGAGCAGCAGAGTTTGAGGGTGCTCTTAGATCCAAACAATGATCTTGGGGGCTCGGACTATCTATTACCAGCTTTCTCCAGATTGCCAGCTACAGCATTTCCTGGATAGGTATAGCTTGGCTACAGTGAATGTATGCACACAAAAACACCAGACTGAATAATTGCACTATGTCATAATTGCAAGCAGTTTAGAATTTTCAAATGGTATAAAATTCTATCTAATTTTTAAGAGAAGCTACATCCCATAAGCTCCAAAGAGCTACATTGGCTGCCTGTTAATTACTGAGCCCAATTCAATTTGCTGCTGCTTATCTTTAGAGCCCTAATAGCTTGGAGGGAACATTTAAAGGAGCATCATCTGTTGTAACAACCTACTTGCTCATTAAAACCATCAAAGGAGTTCCCTTCACTCTGTTGTGATCTACAAAAAGGAAATTTTCTGTATGTGGCATTTTAATGGGAAATATACTGCTTTTTGGTACCAGTTTAAAACCTTCTTTGTAATCCTTTTATGTTTTTTTAAAAATAAGGCATCCTTTCAGAGGGAAATTCCCTACAAGATTCAATTAAAAGAAATGCAGTAAAACAACGATGGATAAAACTGGTACTAACACTCAGAAATCCGGCTTGGCTTTGCCCCCAAAAGATGCAAGGCAACTCCATCAAAAGGGTGCCATTGCTAAGAAGGTCTGCTCTCCAATTATTATGCAACTCTCATCTGCTGACAGAAACTTTCAGAATAAGATTTCTGAAAATGATGTGAGTTTCTGTACAGGTTTAAAGGGAAACTAGTACACTTGTCTCATGCTTTTAAGAAAAAGCAAGAACCAGTAACATTTTCAGTTGTGTTTTGGGCATGCATAATTAGACAAAAAGATGTTTAACCTTTGAGGAAATATATTCCTACTCAGTCTCAGCTGAAGTTGAGAATAACTGAAACCTGACAGTTGTGCCACACACTGGAAATATGATACCTTTGCCCTTACCAGTTTCTATACAGTGTCTGCCTTTTTGTGCTGTTCTGCTATTTGCTAGCTTAGATTTTACTGTTGCTGTTGTTTTCATGATTTTTAAAATTGATTCATTTCTTGTAAATTTCTTTTCATTGACAACCAATCCTGGTGAAGTTTATTTGAAGGGCACTATACTGTATAAATAAGTGATATTTCCCTCAAACCTGTTTAAAACAATCCTGGAATTCTGATATATAATTTAGAACTTTGGGGTTGCTAAAGGGGCACATGTAAAAAGCAAGAACTGGAAGGGCAATTACAAATCTGAAAAACAAAATAAATAAATAAATAAATAAATAAATAAATAAATAAATAAATAAATAAATAAATAAATGTGTCTATGGCTCTTTAAACAGCATTTAAAAAAAAAAAAAGCAAGGGTAACTGGAATTCATTTATATTATTTCCTTGCCTGTTGAACCTAAAAATTATGTCTTTGAGGGGAGGGGAGTAGCAAGATATATTTTAGGAGGTAACAAAAGCAGAACTGTGATCCCTTGCTAAACTGAAGGAATGGTCTACAAGTGATCTGAGAATGTTAACTGTACAGACAATAGAATACATGTTTCAAGATCTGGCTATGCACTGTGAATTAGAGGTTCTCTGAGTGTGGTATACATCAAAGTAATGCCTAAAAGAGAAGGCACTATCATTTTTAAAGTTCATTACATCTCATAGCTGCTTGTCTGTCCCCAAGTAATTGTCAAGTTACCCTGCCTTGGTACACCTACTAAGTTATTACTGAAAATAAGAGAAATTAAATTAAATATATTTCATTCAGAATGTATCACCTTTATCTCTCTCTCTCTCTACACACACACACACACACACACACTGCCAGAATATTGTGGGGACCTGAATTAAACACAATTCTTTAGATGTATTAAAAGATTATCATTACAGTTGCCTTTCTCTCTCTCTCTTAAAAGCATACAGAGCTCTGTCTTTAAATATTATGTGCAGACCCATATAACAGAGCTCTTATGACTACTTTGGTTAGGAAAAAACACTACAGAAGGGGAACGTTTAGTGTATAGGAGCAGAAGGAGAAGGGGGTTCTTCATCTATCCATTCATCAATCCCCCTTTGCTTCTGCATGAAAAATGTTTCCTCCTAAGGAACCTTCTTGGGCTTGCCCCAAGGGGCAGGCAATACAGTAGATTGCCCAAGCTCAGCAATTTGATAATCTCCAAGGCAAACCTTGCCACCCTCCTCCTATTGGAGGGCAGAAGGTGGCAGCAGGGCATCTGGGAGAATTGAATGTCCAAATCCTCTTATGTAAGATGTCCATTTTTCAACATCAACAGAGTAAGTTTGAATGCAGGGTGAACTCCATTTTTCTTTGAAAGCTCTTGGCCATAAAATCAATACAAGCTAGTAGCAAGGTTAGCATGAAAGTCTGGGATTGCCGCTCATGGGGTTATGAATTATTATGCCACAACATGAGTCCAAGCTC